TGTCTTATACATCTCCCTACAGGTCTCTCCCTCGATCATTAATTCCATGGTTGTTAACGACAGGCATTACCACTCGATGGAGGTGTTCGCTACGTTCGACGTGTTGGACCTGAACGGGACGAGGCTCGCGGAGGGGCACAAAGCGTCCTTTTGCCTGGAGGACAATCAATGCCTGCCGGGTGTGGAGGCGAGGTAAATGCAATTAGCGGACTCGTTAAGGGTGAAAGTGATCCGTTCCTACGCGTGTCTGCGTACAGGGTGTTGATATATTCTCTCACCTTTCCATTTCCAGACAAATACATATTACATATATTTCAATCAACTTTGTTCTAAACAAAAAATTAAATTCAAACTTCCAAAATCCTTCTAATCTTCCAACGCTCACCCATCAAAAAATATATAAAAGAAAACTATTCTTTCTCCATTCCTTAAGAAATTCCTTAAGAAATTTCCAGAATTCTTCATTATATATTATTATATCTTATTATTCTTATTCTATCTTATTATATATTCTTTATCTTCCTCTAATTACGAACAAGCATGGAAACGTGAATTACATTTCTTCCTCGATCTTAGATCCTCCCTTTCTAAGAAAGTTCTCTGGTTACACATATAACACCCTGTGTATAGCGAAAGCAAAGATCATTCTCTCGACACGACGCGTGTAATTGGGGAGCCAATTAAACTCGAACGGTGCAACGGGCGTGCATGATTTCAGGTACAAATGCGCCAATTACGGTGACCAAGGGATTTCCGTGAATTGTAGCGATATATACAGGCACAACATCGATTGCCAGTGGGTGGACATATCGGAGCTTCGCCCTGGGGAATACATTTTCAAGGTAGAGTTGCTCGAAAAATTCCCCTCTCTCCCTCTTTTCGAATAACCTTTGTTTTTGATCGACGGCCAAGAAAGAGACAAGAGAGATCCATTAAGAAGCTTCCTTATATTTCTTCCAGACTTCCAAACTTCTAAATAATTACTCCATTATTCTCTCTCTCTCTCTCTC